GGTATACCTGGGTCCTGCTGGTTCGTTGCTGATGGGACTGCTCGACATCTTCTGATGTCGTAGGCAAGTAAGCATGATGTGTCTATCATCTGCTACATTGTTTCCTTGGCCAACCACTACGTTTACGGTCCTCAGCATTGTCCGTTCCTTTGTGCTTCTTCAAAAAAAGAGCTTGAACACATCATCTTGAAACCCCAGTATGATTTGAAATCATTGCCGGGGAGAGCTTGCTGATGCAGTAAAACTACCTTGTGTCTTGTTGCTGTGCTCAGTCTTGCCATAGTGTATGATCTGTGACAACTGTCTTCCACAACCTCACCTTAGTAGCAGAGTTTGGCTGTTCCTCACCCAGTTTTAAGCCTCCTACACATCTGTTTCGTTTATTGGCTGTGCTTCAACCTACCTATGAAATTGATGATCATTAGCACCTTGGTATAATTGGTTTATCATACACCTGACTAATCCTACAAAATCCCGACTTTCTGCAAGTGTAAGAATCGATGCTGGTTTGAAGCCAAAAGGTGGTCACACCAAATATTGATTTGATTTAGATTTTTTCTTCTGTTCCTCACTTTGCATTTTGTAAATTGATAAAAAATAAAATATACATTTCTGAAACCATTCTTACTTTACAGCATTTTTTCCCCCACATTTGCACAGTACTATAGATATAAATCCCTGAACAGTCCTCTGTTGCCTTTTTCCTTTGGCTCCTATTAAATCAACAGTTCATTGAGCATGAGTGTATTTTACTTTCTCAACTGGAGGTTTAACCCCAGCTGCAGCCATTCTTTCTGTATACGATTAAGCATTTGGGGAGGTGGTAATGTTTCACTAGATATATTCCGAACCCTCAGGATGAAATGTCCATGGCTTTCTCCAAACTAGCTGAATAATTTTCAGTATTTTTTTCAATGACAAACTTTTCACTAAATGGTACATATACGATATACGAAATTTTGGCTCCCTGGTTTCTCTCCGCCCTCGCTGGGTGCTGCTCTGTGTACCCTCTGACTCAGCGTAGCGTCCAGCAGGGAGGAGAGAAACTGTCACAGGAGGCCGAACGGTACAGGGGGAGGAGAGCGCTGTGAGTGGACGTCTTCTCTTCTCCAGCACCGCTCAGCCTCCAGTGACAGATAAGGAGAGCGGTGTGGGGGCAGAGACAGCTGTGAGCGCTGTTACAGGATGCTGAGCTCTCCTCCCCCACCACCCTACTCAGCCTCCTGTGACAAATCAGGAGAGCGGTGGCGTGGGTGCGGAGAAAGCCATCAGCGGAAGCCAGCCAGGTGGTGCGGGGGAGGAGAGCATGGTCTCATGTGACAGCTGACTCCTCTCCCACACCACCTGGCTGGCACCACTCGCTAAGCCTCCTGTGACAGCGAGTCAGGATGGAGAGTGGGTACAAGCACTCAGTAAGTAGTGATCGCTGACTGCTTGTAAATAACTGAGGACATGGTATGTTTACATTGTCCCAATTATGAATGAATGGGAAGTGATCTACATCACCTCCTGTTCATGATTGTTAATATAGTAAACATACTATCTCCACAAGTTATTAATGAACAGGAACACTCAGTGTAGAGGATTCCTGTTCATTTAAAACAGGGGCTGCAGAAAAAGAGATTGAGGACCCTGTTCTCAATCTCTCTATATTTTTAAAGCGGAAATATCAGGGGCCTGTTTAGACCCCAATATTTCCCCAAAGCCCCAACAGTAAAGTAAAAAAATAAAAATACAAATAAATTAAAAAATTTGAAAAGGTTAGAAAAAAAATACATTTCGGTCTGACATTTTTTTATCTTCGGTTTTGAAAATGTTATTTTGGTGCATCTCTAATAGATAAGACCGATCTCTCCCTCTCTATATATATCTACTGTAGATCTCACTCTATATATGCACAGTGGGTATTTATACATCTCACTATATATCTCTCACACACAAGAATACACAAACACAATGCTAAAAAACGACAGATGCACACTGGGAGAATTTGAATAAAATATATTTGTATTCCTTTAATAAGATTACAGCCAAAATGTTCCTTGTGTGGCACAACTTACCCGATATACCACAATCAGCTCTGTGTACAGTTATTTGTGCTATAGTATGCAGTAAAGACTTTCCTCAACAACAGTTTTTCCATTGAATGCAAATAGAAACATTATGCTATAGACAATAATACAGCATTATAACCAGGAGACTTCTCTCATGCTGCACATGTGGTGTCTCTGAGCATCTCCATCCAGATCACATTGGCTCTTTTGGCCAAAAAAAAAAGCACTTTGCTTCAAAGAGAGATCAGGAATCATAAGGGTCAGTCCACTCAAATCTAAGAATTAAGCATGTCTTTTATACTTTACAGGAAACCCAGCAGATATTTGAGTCAGAATTCCCATCTGGCCCACCGGTCGCAGACATTCCAAGAAGGACTTGGTCTCCCCGTTTTATGTTGAAGGTTACAGTTAGTGAAATGAGAACCAGACTATGTAGTAGAAGGAGACTCCTGCTGAGGTGGGTGGAACAAGAGTCCTGCTCTGGGGCAGTCGTGAGTCTACCCTTCCTGCAGGGGTAGGAGTTTGGCTCCATGAAGAAGGAAGTGGGCTGAGATAGGATATCAAGCAAGTAGATTTTGCTGCTGGAACCCTCCCCTACAAGAGATATATTATAAACCTTCGGCTAACTCAGAACACCAGCCTTTACCAAAAATAAAATGTCAATTTTGGGTGAATTGGCTTTTTAAGCAGTGAGGCCACACCTATTAAAGCCCAACTGCACTTTCCAAGTCTCAATCTGCTAAATACATTCGAGGTGCATCAAAACCACAAGTGCACAGGAAGCAGACAAAGCCAGAGTAGAAAATCTTGGCTCTCCAGCATGCTCTCAACCAAGGACCCTCGCTGATCTTTGCATAGAAGCAGTGGTCTCTTGGAGAGTTCCAGCTGAGTCAGATCTATAGCTCTGCAATCAGTAAAGCTCATGCTTTCCGTTTGGAAAGCTCTAGCTCTGACTTGGCAGGGTACATGTCAGACTTCTACAAAGAGACCACTGAGAGCAAGGGTCCTCCACTCCAGCATGACAGCAGGGGACAGGCCTTTCTGCTTTAAAGAAAACGAACTGTAGGACTTTGCACACATTTTTGTTTTCAAGCACCTGGAAGGTATTTGGCTGATATGGAGCCTGTGTCGACAAGCTTCTGCTGGTGCCAAATGGGTTTTGCATTCCCATACAACCGATGGGAATGCAAATCCTGGTCGATGCAGCTCAGGAGGTGGTCAAGTACAGGTAAAATGCACCGGTCAATGAATTCTGAATGATCTTTGAAGCATCTCAAACTGCCATCAACACAAGCCCAATGCCTGTCAACACAGGCCCTTCAACTTTAAGTTTAGGAAAGCTTTAGAATACAGCCCAAGGATCCAGCCTGATTACCAAAAATCCACTGGATTATCACAAGTGTGGCTCTTGATCAGCATCACCCATGGACAGGGTCACCTTTCTCCGACAAGATTAGGAAAGAATATTCCGGTTTAAGAGACCAGCCTTCCTGAATGCTTTCTGTTTAGGCGCTGTGGAAGACTATACAGTGTTTCGCTACAGAAAATCCACACAGAACCCCCAAAACAAAAGCTTATTTAGTACATCTCACCAAATTTCCAAAATTACATGTCACAACACTTTTTTTTTGTCATTTATTACTAAAATGTTTTCAGAATCACAGAATACTTAAGACTATGGTACAGCAAAAAACTAGGAAGGATCGAAGATCTAGGATCGATAACAGTCTCCAGGCATAGTCTGTCATGAAATTCACGAGACAACATGCGCTTTTAAAGGATTCTCCTCGGAAATAGTCAACAAAAATGGTCGATATATCTAGATATAGAGGCATAAATAGTTATATTTTCTTTATCCATAGACACACAAACGCACATTACTCTAAACACAGCGTTTGGGTACTTGTACAGTAGATGACGACATGAAGAAAGTCTTGACACATATGTAGCCTTTTTTTTTTTTAGTCAACATTTGTAAAACTAGAACAGCTCTAAAGATTTTATTTTTTTATTTTTCTGCATAAATTCTACGGAAGGTGAAACAAAATAAACATACACCAAAAGCCCTTTCCCAGCATTAGAAGCTTAGATTATATATTTCGATTTCTCTGTTAGCCCTGGGAACTGTGTATTTTTATAATACTTTGCTTTAGACCAACAGGAAAGTCACCTGAAATTTAATTGGATGACATATTAATGATGTTTGTTTTTTTTAAAAACACTGAATATTAAATTTTTTTGTTTTTTGTTATGATGCAAACCACTCCCATCCTGACACATCCAGTCAGTATTACCAACCTACCAGCAGAAAAAAAAAGGGGTCCCTTTAGGAGTAAGCAGCAGTTAAAAAATGAATCAGGCTGCACTGCTAAACCACACCCCGAGCTCTCTTGCTTCTGAAAACCTGCCAGCTGCTGCACATGAGCAGTTAATAGGAGGATTTAAAGACATGGTCCTCCTTCTGACCCCGACAGAGATTGTTCTTTGTTTTTTTGTTCTGTCAAATGTGTTTGTTGGAAATTAAAGTGCATTTAAAGCCAAATGTATTTAAAAAAAAAGTTTTGGATAGAGTAGGGAAGGGTTAAAGCCACTATAGTGTTATTTTGTGCTGCCTGCGTCCCTCTAGGGTGATTTCCCTTCACTTCCTGTCCTGGAGACGCAACAGGAAATGGGAGGAAATCAATCTAGAGTGAACAGAATTCTCATCTTTAGGACACATTTGCATAGGACAACTGTCTAATTGGAGGACATTTCCTCACTTCTTGCTCTGGTGACAACTCTAAAATTTTGGATTTCTCATCACTTTCTGTCTTGGTCACCAGGAAAAACAGAAGGGGTGAATCTTCCTAGTGAGGACACAGACAAAGAAAAACTATCCCCACTCTATCCAAAACTTTAAAAAATTGCCTTACCATACACTTTAACCAGTCACAACACTTTAATATGACCAGGGAATGTTTCACCAGCGGATGTCATTTAAGGACCGGGATTACTCTATCAGGACTTTATTTTGAAACATGAATATGCTGAAACAACGACAGAACACAAATTGGAAAAATGAAAAATCGCTAAAAAGGGCAACTTGATAATTTTATGTACAGAAGCCACTTCTGGCTGCCAAACTGGGAAAATAAAAATAAATAAATAACCTCCTTGATGATGTAAACCCAGCATTAGGATTAGAAGGTCTGCCACAATTTCCTGTAACAGACTTTGATAAATACAACACTATCGTTACTATTACCTAAAGCTGGGCTGCCAACGCTTTGCCTACAGGAGACACGCGGCTGCCTTAAAAGATAAAACAGGAGCACAAAAATGTATACTTTATAATGCAAATCGAGCATCTAAACCTTTGCCCTTCCGCAGCAAAAACAAAAACAAAAATTACTTTCCGCCCACCTTTAAATAAAAGTCAAACATTTTCATAAAAACAAAAGAAAAAAAAATTACAGAACTGCAACGCTTAAAAAAATATATAATCCACATTACAGAAAAGGTCACTTCCAACAAATCATACTGAGAAGTGAACGAGCAGGATCAATGCAAGGCACTGTCCACAACAGCGACCAATAAAAATGTTAAATCGAACAAAAAAAGAAGAAAAATAATACAGCAAGAAACAAGCAGGACTGTTGCTTCCTCGATGTGCTGATTTTGCATTCAATTGCAATGGGCCCTTTTCAAAACAAAAGACTGATACTGTAAAGTAACAGTGCCTTGGCTTTGAAAAATGGGAGGGAAAGACAAAAAAAAGGTTAAAATCAAAAACATCAAGATTCCCAGTTCTACTGAATGTAGGTTAAGTCATTCCTAGAGTCAACCATATCTTCCTTATATAGTAATATATACAGGTTATGTTGCATTGAACTCCCAGTGAACAGATTACAGGTTATAACGAGAACTAGGTGCACGCTAGAGGTGGGAAGGGGAAGGGGCTCAAATGTCACTGTACTGGCTCCACGTAGTTTGCAGGGTACAGGCCCGCTTGCCCACCATCCAGACGACCTTTGCACCAACCCTGTTCATCCTCATCTTCGATTTTTGTAAATTCCTCACCTGTAAGGTAATAATGGCAAAAGCATAATTAGTGATGTCACTGGTCTGTAGTGAATGGATAGGATACACTCTCGATGTGATGTCACTGGTCTTTAGCAAATGGATAGGCTGGATTCTCAACAATGTAATTGGTCTTTAGTAAATAGATAGGCTGCATTCTCTGTGTGATGTCACTGGTGTTTAGTAAATAGATAGGCTGCATTCTCTGTGTGAGGCTGCATTCTCTGTGTGATGTCACTAGTCTCCACTGAATGAATAGGCTGGATTCTAAATGTGATGTCACTTGTCTCTAGCGATTGCATAGGCTGAATTCACAATGAGATGCCATTGGTCTCTAGTATTTGGATAGGCTGCAGTCTTAGTGATGCCATTGGTCTCTAGCGATTGGATAGGCTGCAGTCTTACGATGCCATTGGTCTCTAGTGATTGGATAGGCTGCAGTCTTAGTGATGCTATGATCTTTATCAAACGAACAAGCCTCAATCTCTATGATGACTCTCATCTCTAGTAGATAGGTAAGCTGTATCCTCATTGAAGCGCCTTTTAATTTCCAAGCATTTCAAATAACTTTAGGGTTCATAAATGTTTCTGTTAATCTCCTTACCGGCTTTAAAGCTGAGCTCATCCGTCTCCTGACCTTCATAGTCATACAGCGCCCGGACTCTGACCTCCACTACGCCAGGAGTTTCTTCATCAAAGGGATTGCTGTCACCGTTGGCATCACTGCTGGTGAAGGGATTGTTGGATTCGTCATCAGACCATTCGGTGGGATAAGTCTTCTCATAGCTGCTAACACTAGAACACAAGAAAAGGATTGGTAAGGAAGTATTCCATGATACTGAAGGGAAAAGGCAACACTCATCGGCCTGTAAAAGCAGTGCACAGGACATCAGCATATTGCATTCCACAGCCAGATCAGCATGAACTCTGCTACCTCACAATTATGGCCAATCAATACAAACAAGTATGTTACTATGTCATTTATGCAGATAGTGACCACAAATCCTTTGCAATTAATTTTGCTTATATGAGGGCAAAAGAGAGGGAAAAAAAAAAAAGTAAAAATGTTTTAGTTAAGACATATTAAACATGGTAGGATCACTAACCGTTTAAAAAAAATGACCCTTGCAGTGGGACTCCCCATGCACTGCAAGGGTCAAATGTTCATTTTGTCTAAGGGGAACATAAAAAGCAGCTATACTTCCTTTACTCCTCACATCCCAGCTGATGCCACTTCTCCATGCTGCTCCAATGGCCACGGCAACTCTGATATCATCACGTACAACCAGCAAACATGCTCTACATGAGGACTCTGAAGTCTGGCCCACAACATGAAGCCTCAGAGAGGAGCTGGCTGCCAGGGGAGCGAGGAATAGTAGCTTTTTCTTTTCAGCTTGTATGACATGAGCATTTAACCCTTGTAGTGTGGGGGAAGCCTCACTGCAAAGGTGTTTTTTAAATTTTTCATTATTATTCTTCCCCCACAGTTCAGCTTTAAAGGTTCCAAGACTCTTGGTAAAAGGGAATATATAATGGTTCCTGCTCTCTCTTTAGAATCCCATATTGCTCTGTGAGACCAATGTCATGGCTGTTCCATGTATAATGTAACGAATAGCGTTTATAAAATAGAAATGGCTAATAAAAAAAAAAAAGTCAGTCTGAAAATGTACAAACTTGGGGGGGAAATTTTAATTAAAATGGATTCAAAAGCCAATATAGATTCCCTTTAATGTGCCAAGCATTATATAACAAACCCAACATGCCCAGTTAAAAGATCAGCCAAATGCTTATTAGAGAAACATTACATGTCCTTAAGCTGGTCGTACACTGCTATTTTTTTCGGTCAACCCGCAGGCTGAAACGAAAAAAATAAAGCAGATCCCTAAATCAATGCTATGAGCACGTTCATCAAGGATTCCCCGATGTCAGAATATCAGAACAGAGCCAGCAGCTCATTGGCTGCCGGCTCTGTTTGAATGAAGATTCTCCAACTGGCTCCTGATCGAGCATTGCTGGCTGAAAGGGTGCCAACAGATGAACCCACTGTGCGAATTTCCCCAGGTTTCTCAAGAACTGGCCGAAATCCGCACAGTGTCTGGCCACCTTTAGAGTTTGCCGTTAACAATAAGACTTCAAAAACCCTTTTGTATGCGGCAATTTACTTTGAATTATAACTCTTCGGGCTTTAAACAAAAATGATAATATATATGCTTAAGTGTAGAAAAGCTATAAAGAAGGACCCTTTGCTCTCTGTGACCGGGCCCTGGAGTTCCGCCACTTGGAGGGGGCCCAGGACAGGAGGAAGGGGCCCCTGGCGACCGCTGATTACCAGTCCCGGGACCTCTTCCTTCTGTCCTGGGCCCTACACGATTCACGCTCACCTTGTTCTGGGCGCAGCGTGAAGCATCATCCAGCCGGGCAGCAGCCAATGAGTGGGAGTGGTGTAATCCCCGCCCCGCTTTTCTACTCAGGCTAGAAAAATTGTATTCAGCTGATTCAAAATGAAAGTTCAGTTGGGCATTAAAGGATTTTCCAGCATAAACCAACATATCACTGCCAATTTTGACCCCTCCGATTAGGGACAGTCCTTGCATAACTAATCTTTTAGTTTTGTTTCTACAATAGTCCATAATAATTTTACATATGTGGCCATCAGCAGGTATAATGGCTTCCCGCCAGCATAGCGGCCATTTAGGAACAGATTTTAGCAAGCAAAGCTGAAATGTTTTGCTATGCCAAAGCCAATCCATCCAATCTAAACAAATACACATTAAAACACAGAAAGTTGTGAAACCGACATGTTCAGAGAAAATAAAACCATGCTAGGTCTCCAGCAACCCCCTGAAATAAGAAAAGGACACAGAACTTTGCAGGGGATTGCTGGTGATCTAGAAAGAGTCGTCCCACCAGCCAGGATGCAGTTAATTGATGAGAGAAAGTAAGGTTAGTGTCCGGTGCTGGAAAAAGGGGAAAAAACACTTTTGTTAAAGGAGAAGACAACTGGACGGAATGCAGGTGACATGCGCTGTGTTCCGTTCAGGCTCCGTATGCCCCCGAGTGACAAACCAGTGCAGAGACAGGAAGCTAGAGGAGATGAAACAGGAAACGTGGCGTCACCAACTTTTTAGTTTTACTGTCCTCCTTCTCAATGATACTGCTGGTCTCCTCCTCGTCTTCAAAGGGATTGTTACTCGACTGTGTGGACTGTACTGACTGCACGCTAAGATGGCTGACCGGGAAGAAGAGAGCAGGCAAATCAAACTAACAAACCAAAAAGATTACAAACTAAAAATAAAAAAAGAAGTATAAAAAACACAAGCAAAAAAGTATTTGAAGTGTACGTCTGGGCAAGGAAAAAAAAACAAAAAAAAACATTTAGTACATGTCTGCACGGCTTATCCTTTTAATCCAGTTTTTAACTCTACGTTTTATCAGTCTAAAAATGCAGTACAGAAATAAGCCTGCTGAGCAAATGCAATGCCTCTACGGTAGTAAAATTCCATGAAGTGTTGTCAGCTCTGCACAGTTGTCTGTTGCTGGACTACAGAACATCTTCCCCTCTGTAGTCACCTCTATAGAGTGGTGTTCAGTAATCCAACTGGAAAGAATTAGTCAGGGATGAAAACACCTCGTAGGATATCAATACAGCACTGGCAGAGTTGTCAGCTCACTATAGCAAGTTAGGAGCCCCCTGGCAGATGAACAGGTATTTTGCTATTTTTGAGGAGACAAAACCTGGGGAAATATATATGTATTGCAGAGATGTACTGAATGTATTGTTTTCTATTTTGCCCAGACGTAGACTTTAAGAAGGGTGCCAAGTCCTGACGTGGAAAAGCTTTTCTATGTGATGTCTGAATATACTGGACGGTACCATGGTTGTCCTCGTGGAGTTGTGAATTTCCTGCAGGAGTTCTGGTATCCAGCAACAATCCAAATATACTACAAGGTTAATTTGCTATCACCCCAGCCGGGCTCTGAATGCGGTGGGGGACAGACTATGTCCTGGCCAGAACTTAATGGTTCTATTTATTCTGTACAGTGCTGCACAATTAATCTGCACTGTTTAAGTATGGGCCAACTATAAGAAAGTGGAAGGTGTAAAAATAATGCACCACAAGGTCTTCTCTCTGCCTGGTATGCTATAGCGTTTTGTTTATGAAACCTAAACTGCAGCGTTAGGTCCGCACTGATGCATTATGCAGGCTAGGGATAGTATAGCCATTGAACACATGCCATATAGCAGGAACAAGCAGGTGCTGCAATACTGAGTCAAGTGTCCTTGAGCATTGATGGCCTGCACTAGGCGCTGATATCAGCATAAACTTCAATGAAAACTGTGCTGAAGTCAGCACCCGCAAAGCAAAGCTGCTGTTGGTCACATGACCTGTGCATGCGGCACCCCTTTTATTACAGCTCTGTTCTTGATGACTATATTGTCCTACCTTCCCTTTCCCCAGTGTCCTAGTAATTATTAAGGAGACATCATCACTGCCTATTCAAGGCAAAGTAATGATGTCTGCACATGGCTTACCCCTGGGGGCATGTATAGGTTTTCCAGCCAAGCTTCCTTCCCACATGCCTGGAAATCCATATGAGACAGTTCTCAGCCCCAATTGGCCAGGCCGGGCCCAAACACAGTTGCACGAGGGGTGCCAAGACATCATCATGCATGATGCACCATATAAGGCAGCATGGCTGAGCACATATACATACCCTGGTGGGTGGGTTAGCTGTAGAATATGTCCCAAATGAAAGGGTCTTTACACTGCAGAACAGGCTAGCTCTCTGCAGGGAGATGATCGAGAAGTGAGCGAGCGACGGTATGCGTTCGCTCACTTCCCGATCTATTGAGCCGACGTGTGAGTTTCATTGTCACACGTCGGCTTGAACAATGAGATTGAGTGAAAATCATTCACCTCATAGTTCTCCGTGGCATACCGCTCATTAGAGTTTGCTATTTGTTACCCAGCACATTTTTTTTTTCCTGGAGCCCTCCTTTAAACAAGATTAAAAAAAAAAATAGGGCTGGTAATGATTAAAAATTTCCTGTTCGATTAATCTAAATTTCTTTTAATCGATTAATTTCGATTAATTATAACACACATACAGATCCAACTACATTAGCCTATACACATACAGCACAGCAATAATAAAATGAACTAGGATCACACTAATCCAGCACGTTATTAATCTCACGTGCCACACTCAATATGGCCGCCACTTAAGTGGGGCAACTCAGAATAATAACGTGCTGGATTAGTGTGATCCTAGTTCATTTTATTACTTCATTGCTGTGCTGTATGTGTATAGGCCAATGTAGTTGGTTAAACTTGGTAGTAACACTAGGTAGTAACCTCACAGTTCAGAAGTCACCACACAGATCGTGAGTAATATCAGTATTGGAGTTATAAATTAGTAGTAATTACACAGCATTGGCAATAATCATCAATGGTTATCTCCAGGCATTTATAGCATAGTCCAGAATCCACATTAAACCTCATTAGGACAAAAGCTGCTCTATTAGGAGTCCCCAGTAGGTGGTGCTGTTCCCTAAGCAATCCCCACCTCTAGTTATAACGATCAACATAACGTTTTTAACAGGACTGAAAGTAGGGTCAGACGACCCTACTTGCGGTTTCTGGATGTCAGCAGAGTGAGACGGAAACCCACGATGCAGGAGGGGTTGAGCTGGAGACAGAGCGCGGCGTCTTCAATGGTCGAGAGATCCGTGACAGCAGGAGGACCAGCACAGCATGCACTGCACTATAGAAGGACGTCACCGGACTCCTCCCCCCTTCCCTTCCTTAGCCTATGGAGCCACTCGAGGAAGGGGGGAGGAGTCCGGTGACGTCACGGACATCCCAGAAGACCCGGAAGCCGGCGGAGAGGTGAGTACGGATCAAAAGAATTTTGATCGATCAAAAAAATTAACGATTAATCGAGGAATTAATCGTTAATTTCCGCAGCCCTAAAAAAAAAACAACAAAAAAAAGCTGTATGACATATTAAATATGCATAGAAGGGCATCCATACAAGCGCTCTTGACTGAAGAGCTGCTCTTCTATTGCCACTAACTCTGTTCAAGTACTTTAGGCTTAATTAGGGCCCCATGCTAGTGACTATCTTGAATACCATTCCCACACCTAGGTTTAAGATCTTGAGCCAATACGTATCCCTGATTGTAGTACTGCATCTATTTAGAACCTCAAACTGCAGTACAAGGGAACCTACTGCTAGGAAACTGCACTGCTAACTTTGCTCATGATGCCAAGTATTTAGATAGAAAGTTAAAATGATTGCAATGGGCCGTCAACAACTGACAACCATGCCAGCTTGTGGTTAAAAAAAAAAAAATTCCCTTAGTGGACAAACTTGTGATGCTAGATATCCTTACCTGCTGTGTTTATTCGGGACAGACTGCTCCCCGGCTTGGCTGATGCCAGTGAGGGTCACCCCCTCTCCCGGCTTCTTCTTTTCTCTTCTACTTAGAGTACGGTTTAGGTCAGCAGACCACTCCTGAAAGAGGTTTACAAAACAAAAATCATAAAGGCAGAACTGTGCAATATTAACATTTGTCCACAAGGAGACACCAGAGAATAACGGATGGCAATTAAGCATAACGATGAGAGAAACCAGCCATTTTCAGAAAGGAAACCACATTGCACATAATGATATAAGAACATGCAACATTAAGCATGTACAGATGAACATGAAACATAGATAGCATTAAGGGAACACATAAAAAAAAAAAAACCTGATGCATGGTAAGCACCATTTAGAGAAAATGGCAGTCCTGCGTCATGAGGTTGCCATGACAACAAAGGAGAGAAACCCATTACGGCTTTCTGCATTTTTTTTTCTTGAATAAACCAGCATGAAGCAGTACCCCAACCTGACAATATGAGAACCCAGTAATCCAATAATACAAAATGAAATGCAACATTTTCAGTCTTACAGTATGTTTTCTTTACAAATTAGCAACAGTCTAAGCAAAAAAACCTGTCTTCTGCCAGCAGGTTGCAGAGTGAGTTCATAGCTCTCTGTGGGGAAGCAGCAGTCGCTTTGCAAAGGTCCAACACATCCCCTAATGAACGGAAGCCTGAGCAGGTATCATGAGCTTTTATGACTGCGGAGCTATAGGTCTGATCCAGCAGGGGATGTGTCAGACTTCAGTGCCTACGGCTTCCAGAAAGAGAGCAAGGGTCCCACTCTGCAGCTCATGCCAGGGGACAGGCTTTTCTACTCATGCTGTGGCCTTTTTCAATTGGATCAGCGCTTAGCCCAATCATGTCAACATGTGGACTACATATGAAACTGTTTAGAGATCATTCCCTTTGGCAAGGGTGCAAAGGGGCTGCTTTAGGCCCCTTTCACATGAGCAGTCTGGTCAGGTCCGCCTGTCAGTTTTTCAGCTGGACCTGAACAGACGTTCTGTGCAAGCATCCGTTTACACCCGGTAGGCCCCATCGCTGGCTAGGTCCGGTAAAACATACAGATCATTGATCCGTTTCGAGGGACCGGATTGTGACAGACCAGAAGTAATCTTATGTAAACGGACACATGTATGTTTACATCAGATTCCCCATACATACACATGGAGTCTGGTAGTTTCAAAACTGTACGGACACGGATGTCACAGAGGTGACATCCGCTCCGTACGGCTGTGATCATGAGAGGATCTGTTAACGGATCCACTCCTGACACGCTCGTGTGAAAGGGGCCTTAGAAAAAAAACAGGACAATGAATATCTTTTGTTTTGATGCACCTATAATGTATACAGCCAATTTATACTGAATGTTCAATTGAGCTTTAAATGTGCTCCCCCCACCCCGTGCCTCTCCTATACTAAAACAAGGGGCTATCTGTGCACTTAGTGGAAGAGGGAGAAGGTGGGTTCAATCAACTGAATACTGAGCCCACCAGCTTTCAGTGTCTTGTGCCCACCACTATGTTATTAAGCAAAAGCACTAGAGGATGCCAATGTTGCACTGGGCCCATTAGACCACATAGCAGGCAGACGGTTCCACTATGGACAGGTACTGCATTACATTGGAGATCTGCCACATACTGGCTACAATAACTGCAGACAGATAAGATACTAGGGGTGAACTATAGAGCTATATTTGTTCACATCTACTGCAGGAGTGACTTTGGGCAGAAATATGGATCCTGCACATGTTAAAGGACACAGCAGCTGAGAGTAATTGTATCATGACAGAAAGTCACTATCTGGCTTGCTATAACAGCTAATGAAATAAAACTATTACCATTAATGCTTTACTTACTTCATCCTTGTGTGAGGCAAAAGCAAGAGACACAGGAGGAAAATTATTAATAAAGCAAAAAACAAAACAAATCACAGGTTCATTATTAAGCATCTCTGCCATCATGCAAAGTTGTTTTATTTCTCATTCTGCAGGCCCGTATAGCAAAGGGTTAAGTCATTTTTACAGTGGCCACTGGTATTACTCTAGTTCATCGTGACAACACCACAGCTAGACCTGACCGCTTAGACTCTGGTCCGTCATCGCAGGGGGGTGGTGACTGTGTCCTGTCCAGTACTGAGGGATCAGAGTGATGTCAAAGCTGGGATTGTGTGAAGGCTCAGCACTTTGCTAGAGAATTCTGAGCTTTGTTGGGTTATATTGTTCAGGATGTACAATAGATACCCCAGGTCTACTGAAATGTTTATTTAAGCAAAAAAAAAGGGGCACACAGAAAGTTCTTGTCCATTTGATTGTGGTAGGGATATTTAGGGGCCAGTCCACCCAAAACTGATATTTTAGTGTTTGGTAGATAATGGAGAAGTAAACAACCTGACAAATTCTTATACATCTCGAGAATTCTATTGGTGAAGTCTTTGTGGTAAGTTCACGGGTCTGCACGCCTGCTATGCCCATTTTTAAGGCCTCCCACCAACCCCGCTTGAGTTTTCATCCATTTCAATTTTATGGAGAACGTAATACGAGGAGTTGAAACACCCTAAAGTTAGCAGGGAACACAGAAAACACTCAGGTGGGCAAGAAAATGGTAGAAAGATCTCGCTCTTCAAGTATCCAAGTCATAAGAAGCAAGCAACTAATTTAGCCCTGGGCTCTAACCTAATTTAAAACATCACTTTTGGATGGATTGGTCCCTCATGTACAGAAGGAGTTACTTTTGTGAATGTTTCTCTGTAAAACGTTGTCTAGTTTATTTGCGTTGGATTAATAACATGGAAAAAACCTCAAGTGCGGCCTGAGAAAGCCATGAAAAATAGTTCTCACCTCAAACTGCGGCCAGTTCATGGTCATTCCTGGACCGTGATTGTTCTTGAACCATTTGAGGTCCTCCAGAACGTCGGCTGACTTGATTGCATACTCTAGATCTCGGTATATGCTGGGATAGCTGATAAGAAGAACACAAAGTCTATAAGGCTTCCTCAAACCTATGTCTTTCTAAAGCTGTTACACTTGCAAGGCCTCTCTGACAGATGGTAGACTAAGGGCTCATCAGATATGATAACCCCAGTTAAATCTGCACAGATCAACCAAGGCTCACAAGCAAGGCCACACAGAAAACAATTATCTTCGATGTACCCTTCTCACACCACATCACTGAGATGGGTTGCAGCACGTTGTGTAAAAATGCTGTCATGCTGCACTTTTTCTGCAACGCACCAGCTCACCTGAAGTCACCACCAGTCCCTGCAGCTCAGCTGCGGTGAATAGAAATTCCATTTTGTGACAATTCAATAACGTTTGTAAGGCACCTCCCCCACCACCCGTTCACTAAAGCGGCTTGTTTTAGTATGTGAACTGGCGTGAAAGAACCCTAAATGACTACTAAATCTAAAGATAGGAAGTGATAAAAATTCTTCAACAATAACAAACAACATTTTTAAAAAAGGTTTCTGGTACAGTAGAGAAAGGCTACAACCTGATAACTATTAGATTAGTCTGTGTCCTTGTAGATTTCCCCCATACTTCCCGTCTAGTAGGGACGCCGATACAGAGTATTCGGGCAAGTACTCGCCCCAATGCTCCCGATGCTTATCCCGAAACTTCTGGTATCAGGAAGCCGGGTGGCGAGTCATTACACGCCACCCAGCTTCCTGATTAGCCGGAAGCCAGCTCCATAGTCATGGAGCTGGTTTTCTGTCCAAGCAGGAAGCCCCTGGCTACCGGATTGGTTGGAAAGCTGGCCCATCAGGAAGCTGGGCGGAGAGTCATTACCTGCCCCTCAGCTTCCTGATTGACCAGAAAGCCGGCTCCATGCTTCCTAGTCAACTGGTGACGAGGGGGAGTGGAGACGGTTTCCCAGCTACTCTGGAAGCTGTGTGAGCGAGTCATTACACGCAGCCCAGCTTTCTTAAATGGGACTTGCGGTACTTGTACTCTAATCCGAAAAACCGGCATCGATTCATCCCTACTGTCTAGTGAAACTGTTGTGACAGTGATGGAAAATCTCTAATGGCATTCTGGATGGCTGTAAAAACTTCATATCATCCTAGCACCAGAAAAAGGTTATTTACCTGTGCACGGTCAGACATTACCACGAATTGTACTCCGTTCCTGGTTTCAGCAACAGCACTGAAATAGGTCTTCGCACATTTGATCAATGTAAAATTTAGATGGGCCTTTTTTTTCACTAAAATTTGGGGTTTAATAAGGAGTTGCGCTAATATTGCGCAACATAAAAATTTGCAACTACCACCATTTTATTCTATAGGGTCTTGGCATTCAGAAAATATATAATGTTGGGGGGTTTTAAGTAATTTTCAGGCCTAAAATGTGGAATATAACATGGGTACAAAAAATGAAAAAAAAAAGGCCTCAGTCATGAAGGGGTTAATAACCATATTACTCTGCCTTTTCTTTGCTTTGGAGCTAGACAGACTAGTTGTTAGGGGCCATGCTACCAATCAACCAGCATCAGTTTAATACCCTCCACTACCCAAATTACAGGGATGGGAAAGCAAGCTGAGCTATATGCAGTGATGAGCTGCGGCTCAGCCTGCTAAAAAACAGAAAACAATTTAATGAAGGAATTGGAGGGGTGTGTGTAGAGAACCCCTACGTGAGACGGATGCCATGTCAGGGTACCTCAGGGAAGCCAGGAAACTGAATTTGGACTCGGACACTGGAAAGCAGGCCAGAAAATGGAGTATTTTGAAGTGGAGAAGACTACTCAGGTAACCTAATCTGCATTTGTACAGGTACACAAGACAGTTTTGTGCAACATCCAGAAAGCTATGTTAATGTTAGGCTCACCCTTCCAGGTTGGACAGGTCGAGGTGTTTCTCAACATCCAGCAGCAAGTCACGGAAGAAACGCAGTCTCTTGTCCTCAAACAGCTGACATTGTTCAAACACTTGTTCCATATTCTCCATGTACTGTGGGGTGGAACCGTCCAGGTCCTTCAAAGTCTTCTCGTACTTTTCTTTGGTCTGTGGCATTAAAAAAAAAAAAACAAAAAAAAAAACAGGTGACATGTACTAGACGCTCAAATTAGAGTTTTTATCTGCCATCAGAATACGAAAAACAAATGTATTTTAATACAAACCATGGAGATGTAAAAAATAAAGAAATGACTGGTAATAAACCTACCATAGCACAATGGATATAAAAATCTACATGTACCTGTAAAAATGCCAGGTTTTTGAGATGTAAAAAAACTGGACCAAGATAAAAACACTTCAGAATTTTCCACCTTTAATGTGGCCGATAATCCGAGCAAATCAATTAAAAACAAACTGAAATCTTTAAGGGGGTAACTTACAATAATGTGGTTGCATAAATATGCCCACCCTTAAACTAATACTTTGTTGAAGCACCTTTTGATTTTATGACAGCATTGTGTTTTGGGGGTAGGAGTCTATCGGCATGGCACATCTTGCCTTAGGAATCTTTGCTCACTCTTTGCAAAAGCACTCCAAATCTTTCAGATTGCGAGGGCATCTCCTGTGTACAGCCCTCTTCAGGTCACCTCACAGATTTTCAATTGTTGTACAAATATTTTTTTGGAAATGGTACAGTTGTAAATTACATCCAAAGAAAGGACATATAGGTTCATATGGCAAAACATCAGAACAGTTCTAAAGCAAAAGAAAGACCCATGGCAGGTCGTCTACAGGTTAGCAAGTCGAAAAAAAAAGAGAGAGAGAGAGAGAGAGAGAGAGAGACATAGGCATAAAATCTGAACACAATCAAATTATCTCAAGACCTGAAGAAGTGTCACCAACGTCCCGCTGCTGCCGCAGGACACCAGCGAGCCCGTACGGGAAAAGAGGAAAGGGCTCCAGACTACATACTGTGCAGGCAATCCATGGCATGGGCTTCAAGCTTTAGAGAAAGCCACAAGAACCTAAGAAAAAGAGTGAAGAAAGGAAAAGAAAAAAGTGAGAGAAACAAAAAGGGAGAGACAGGCTGCAAGGGAATCAAGGGGGACCACAACACTCCGAGAGAGCAAGTGACCATGTTTTCTGGAAAGAGGAATAGGAATTGTGCAGGATAGCCGTGAGCTTCTCGTGCACTATGATACCCATGACTCGTTGCTTAACTTCCGAAACATTCAGCATTGGCCGTTTCCAAGCTTAGGCAATAGTCTGTCTAGTTGCCAAAAAAATAAAAGTTGCTAATTTCCTATCCCTCCTTGAAAGGCGTGTAATTGGCCTGCCCAAGAGAGCCTCCCAAGGGTTGCGAACAAAGGATTTGTTGAAGACTGATTTCAGTAAATTATAGACCCTGATCCACAACCTCTGCACCTTCGGACACCGCCACCAGATATGAAACAGAGTACCCCTGGTCTCGCAGTCCCGGAAGCAGCGGGGTGATACTGCAGGAGCAAACTTTGATATCCTATCTGGGGTCATGTACCAGCGGTCTAAGGAGTCTCCCAGATCCCTTTCCCAGGCTAGCATGTAAGAAAGTTTATTTTCCCCAACGGATGGCACCAACGAGAAATAAGGCCTGCAGAATGGGAATCCCACCAACAACGCATTTCAAAGGAAGTCAGGTTGCGCGGACAACCTGCACAGTGCCAAAGGAGAGATCTGACATAACTGTGGAGTTGCAAGTATCGGAAGTTCTCTGCAAGAGGGGCACGCCAGTGGGTGCGGAGGTGAAGGATTTGATACCATTTATAGATAACAACAGGTCTAGGATATAAAAAGGGCTCCTACGGGACCACCACAGAAACGCAGACGCATCCTCATAAGATAAGGGGAAAGAGGGAGTCCCAAAAATATCGAAGAGGGGGAGGTGGGGGGATATAAGACCAGCAGTGTATTTAACTGAATCCCAGTGTTTTAAACTAAACCGCAAAATAGGATCTTGAATGAGGGGACGAGAAGAGGGGGGGTCCACAAAAGGTTATTGATAGGAAGGGGGGCGCATTCAACTATATCCATGAGGGCCCATTGAGGCCACAGATTTTCAATTGGATTTAGGTCCGGGCTCTGGCTGAGCCATTTCAAAACTTTGATCTTCTTTTGAAGACATTCTTAAGCTTTGGGTTGTTGTCGTGCTGAAAGGTGAAATTCCCCTTCATCTTCAGCTTTTTATCAAAGGCCTGAAGGTTTTGTGCCAAAAGTGATTGATATTTGAAACTAGATCATAAGTCCCTCCGCCTTAACTAAAGCCCCTGGTCCAGCTAAAGAAAAAACAGCCCCAAAGCATAATGCTGCCACAACCAAGCTTCACTGTGGGTAGGGTGCTCTTTTGGTGATGTGCGGTGTTGTTTTATGTGCCAAACAATTCCAACTTTTTGGAATTATGACCAAAAGGTTCAATCTTGGTCTTATCAGACCATAACACATTTTCCTACATGCTTTTGTCTGACTTGATGTAGGTTTTTGCAAAATGTAGCTGAACTTGAATGTTTTTCTTAGCAAGAAAAAGCTTCCGTCTTGCCACCCTACCGCACAGCCCAGACATCATGGAGATTGCCGTCACATGTAGTACACAACCAGCACTTGCCAGAAATTCCTGCAGCTCCTTTAATGTTGCTGATGGCCTCTTGGCAGCCCCTGGACCAGTTTCCTTTTTTTAAATATCGATTTTGGCGGAATGTTCAGTCCTTGGTAATGTCCCTGTTGAGCCATATTTTCTCCACTTGTTGATGACCATTTTCACTGTGTTCCATGGTATATCTAATGCCTTGGAAATTTTTTGGTACCCTTTTCTTGACCGATACCTTCCAACAATGAGATCCCTTAGTTCCTTTGTAAGCTCTTTGAGGACCATGGCTTTTGCGGTCAGAGGCAACTGAGTAAACGTCAGAAACATCCAACTAGAACAGCTGAATATGGGCTTAACCAGAGTCACGTTAATTGAAGGAAGGTGGGTACCGACTACTATTTATCATCAATTTGAATGTGATTGGGTAATTCTGAACACAACATCCCTAAATATAAGTGTGTGTACACTTAAGGTGCCCATACACCTTACAATTATCGTTCGATAATCGTCCGCAATCACGTTTTCGTACGATAAGTCGGCCAGTTGATGGGAAGTGCACGATGGCACTTACTGTACAACTGGCCGAATTTGGTTGAACAGGCAGACTCGAAAACTTTCGGCAAAGCGGATGAAAAAAAAATTAAAAAAAAAAAAAAAAAAAATCGATGGATTCGTGACGTTTTCGTACGTCAAAAGTCGCAACATGAACACTGCACATGCGCAAACAAAAATCCGTTCTGTCCATGGACGAAAATAGTAAAGTTAGAATGCGGGGAGGACCGCCAAATTTCAATATACATTCAGTCAGGGTGACCAGTGCACTACACGGCTGTTTATGAACTGTAGGATGATTATACATTTCCCATTGTAACGTACATGTAAACCCAAGAACAAAAATGTAATGTATTGAAGCTTACACGTCCTTAGATGTGCTAGCTGCATTAGTTTCCATTTTTCAGTCTAAGAACATTTTCAGCAAGTACAGAAAATACCTGATCTTGCCAGAAATGCTGCATCCTTGTCACTTCTGGCAAACTGAAGTGAAATTAGAAACAATGTTATCTTCCTTTAAGGCTATCTTGTGTAAACCGGAAATTCCCCCACATCCCCATGCAGTGTAGATGCAGAGGAACATGTGTTTGTAGTCAAAAAGAAGAGAGCAGCCCGAGTGACATACTGCTCTTTCATAGATACAGTGGAGAAGGGAGTGTTCTCACCCTTGGACAGGTAACCAATGACAGGTCAGCAGCAAAATATCAAATTTTTGTTTCTGGCATAAGACACAGTTTAAAAGGCAGTGACACACATCACAACAAGACCACCAATAAAAAGATCTCTCTGGCATTGTGTAAGCACGCGTGTGGGATAGGGAGAGGAAGACATTCCTGGTGCTTAAAGTGACATTAAACCCTCAGATTTTTTAACATAAACCAATACTGTAATGTGTGCCTTACTGTAATCCATGGTTGTTTCCCTTCTCTTTGCTGCTCTTCCTTTTAAATCCTCATGTCTTCTCATGCTTGGGAAGAACTTCCCTTTTCAGCTCAGGGCCTCTTCTTGTAATGCTGGCTCAGGTTTCAAGCCTATAGAAACGTATACACAGACACCGTGTATCCATTCCTGAGACAAGGCAGTCTGCTGCAAACCAGAAGTTCTGCCCAGCATGAGAACAGATACAGATTTAAAGTTAAAAAATCTGAGGGTTTAATGTCACTTTAAGTTATCCTGGGGAAAGCAACAGCAACTGACAGATTGACAGAAAAATACAGATAGCTGCCATTTGCACCAAAAACTGAGCTGGGGACATCTGTGTCAGTTTGCTGGTGCCCACATAACTGGTGATAATCAAGAAGTCCTCCAACAATTGGCTTTTTGGTCAATGATGATATTATAGGTCTTTAGGGTTCCTAAGCCTCAAAACATCACGGCAGTACTCTCCAAAAATAGTACTTGCCATTTTATGTTGGCTCATTCCCTAAAAACTGAGCAAGGAATTTATCAAAACTGGAGCAGACAAAATCTGAAGCGGATCTGCACTGCAAATCAGCTTCTCTCTCTCTCATATTCAAATATCAACTGAGCAAACTGAAGAGAGAAGCGGATTGGTTGCCATGGGCAACTGCTCCGGTTTTCATCTGCTCAAGTTTTGATAAATTTCCCCTCCCCCAAGTGTCCTGGAATTATGGGTGGCAGTGCAGGACACTCAAGCCAGAAGACAGGACTGCAAAACATCAGTATTCAGTAATACCTTTGTGAACAATTAGGGATTTTGTTTTCCCGCAGAGTCCCAGCTGTTCTTTTAAAAAACACCTTATTGGTGGTGATGGGGAAGAGAGGGGGTCAGGCCTCCAATCAGCAGCAGCAGGGGCATGTCTACAACTTTTACTTCCTCTATAAAGCTCTCTTTAAGAGCAGCCATCACAGCACTGTTCTTGCACACATAAATTACAGAGGAAACACCACAATGGAAAGAAAGTTTGTACTGTGTGCACATTACACTGTGTTTGCTCTGCAGGGCGTTACATCGGTACGTATGCTACTAGATTTGAATACAACTGGAAGACTTCCTGAACAAACATGAGCAAAGAGAAGATTAGCTGGCACATCCGTTACCTTCTGAGAGTCCTGCTTACTCTTCTCCACCTTGTCCTGGAGTTTCTTTAGCTGCTCCGGGTTGAGGGCAGGGTCGGCTTTGCTGTTGGTCTCCCGGGAGATGGCCAGTTTCTCCTCCTTGCATGCAGCATGATATGCCTTCTTGGCCCCTTCCACCTTGACAGATGAAAGAACAAGTCTATTAATTATTTATTTTTAAAATGTTTCAGTTTGAATCCATGATCTACAGCTAACAACCAATCAGCTGCCACATATAGTACACTGCAAAGTTCTAGGCAGGTGTGAAAAAATACTGTAAAGTAAGAATGCTTTCAGAAATAAAAGTGTTAATCGTTTATTTTTTATCAATTAACAAAATGGAAAGAAAATGAACAGAAGAGAGATCCAAAACAAAATCAATATTTGGTGTGACCACCCTTTGCATCAATTGTTCTTGGTACACTTGCACACAGTTTTTGAAGGAACTCAGCAGGTAGGTTGTTCCAAACATCTTGGAGAACTAACCACAGATCTTCTGTGGATGTCGGCTGCCTCAAATCCTTCTGTCTCTTAATGTATGCAAGACAGACTCGGTGATGTTGAGATCAGGGTTCTGCGAGGGCCAAATCATCACTTCCAGGACTCCTTGTTCTTCTTTACGAGAAAGATAGTTCTTAATGACAGTGGTTGTATGTTTGGGGTTGTTGTCCTGCTGCAGAATAAATTTGGGGCCAATCACACGCCTCCCTGATGGCATGGCATGATGGATAAGTATCTGCTTGCATTTCTCAGCATTGAGGACACCATTGATCCTGACCAAATCTCCAACTCCATTGGCAGAAATGCAGCCCCAGACTAGCAAGGAACCTCCACCATGCTTCACTGTTGCTGCAGACACTCATTGTACCACTCTCCAGCCCTTCAGCGACCAAACAGCCTCCCGCTACAGACAAATATTTCACATTTTGACTCCTCAGTCCAGAGCACCTGCTGCCATTTTTCTGTACACCAGTTACTAGTGGAGTTGCTTAGCCTTGTTTCCATGTTGGAGGAATGGCTTTTTGTTGCAATTCTTCAGTGAAGACCATTTCTGGCCAGACAGAAGATGGGTGTACCTGGGTCCCACTGATTTCCACCAGTTTGGTGCGGATAGCACTGCTGGACATCATCTGATGTCGAACGGAAGTAAGCATGATGGTCTTTTATCTGCTGCATTAAGTTTCCTTGGTCGACCCCTACATCTACGGTCCTCAACATTGCCCGTTTCTTTCTGCTTCTTTAAAAGAGCTTAAAACAGCACATCTTGAAATCATTGCCTGGGAGAGACCTTGCTGATGCAGTATAACTACCTTGTGTCATCTTGCTGTGCTCAGTCTTGCCATGGTGTATGACCTGTGACATGAAACAGTCTTCCACAACCTCACCTTAGTAGCAGACTTTGGCTGTTCCTCACCCAGTTTTAAGCCTCCTACACATCTGTTTCTGTTATTGACTGTTTCAACCTACCTATGAAATTGATGATCATTATCACCTTCTTGGTATAATTTGGTAAATCATACACCTGACTCTAATCCTACCAAATCCCTGACTTAGTGCAAGTGTAAGAATTGATGCTGGTTTGAAGCCAAAGGGTAGTTACACCTGCCTAAAACATTTGCACAGTACTGTACATTTAATTGTTTTATTCTTAAAGTGAAACTGTGAGCAGGCAATAGACATTCACAAATCTGCATATTCCTTTTAAGATGTACACTCCCTTTCGAGCAAGCCCTCACTTACCTCTACAGCTGTAGGCACTGAGGAGAAATGCATCCCCAAAGTTCCCAGCAGCGGTGCTGAAATCCCAGCTCATCTACCCCAGCCTCCTCTCACAGCAGCGGCTTGGCAGCTTTTCAGTGTGAACAAAGAGTAAGCGCTTTAAGCTGTCAAGAAACTTCCTACAGCCAGAAACCTCTCTAATGTGAATTTTAAGGAACTGCTCCCCAGTGCATGTAGCTACAGTAGTCAATAAGTGCTTGTTTTAAATCCAATTTACTCTTTATTAAGAATACATTAATATGTTAAAAAAGTGAAATGGTGGCCAACCTATGGACATTAAAAAGGGAAACACCTTACAACATTTGATCTATTGCCCTGTTGGGTAATTTCTCCCACTCTAGTACATCAATGAAAGCCAGGTCTCTCCTTTCAGCTGAATTCCCTGGTTCTTCTCTCTAGAGCTTATTCCCCTTATCTCTGTGTAGAATCCGCTTGGGGGCTAGTGACAGCATAATAATGGTCCCCTAGTGGATTCTCCACAGACATAGAGATCATGCTCTCCTGAAATAGAAATTAGCAGGTTCGGTTCAAGACAACAACCTTGTCTATAGAAGCAAGAAATTCCCAGAAGACCAGGTTGGATTTGAAACCCATTTCCACTGTATTTAAAATAAAAAAATATATAAAATAATTTACAATTCATGCTGCTCAGGTTATGTTTCCCCACAGATTTTAGTAACACACACTGAATAAGCAGTCTTCGTTTGCTTAATTATATTTAATCTCTCTCTGCAGAGTCCTTAAGAGTACGAGTAGATTTTTCTCCTTTAAAATTTTGCAGCCGGCATAGCAGCAAGCAAAATATGTGAATGACTGAAGACCAGTTTTTATATCTGTCCAGTCTAAGCTATGGGAATAGTTAAGAGTCCATCTCCAGCTGCAAATGAGCTGTGGGAAGCAAGAGGGTTATATAGAATTAGCCAGGCAAACATTATCAGTTCATGATATAGTAAAGAGTCTTAAAGAGGAACTTCACCCTTATTTTTACAATGACAACAAAGGCAACTTTGTTTGGTAATGACAATCTACAAACAGGTACAATTAATTTTTTTTTAATAAGGGCAGATGAATCCATCTCTCTTTACTTCCTGGAACTCTGGCACATGCGACTAAGACATGTGACCATGCACGTCAAATGCCTTTTACTGAGATTTTACAGTTTACAGGTGAGATTTTGCAGGAAGGCGCTGCTGATTAAACCTTCCCAGGATGCATCTCTTAGGCATAGGCTACATCCCTAATGCCTAAGAGGACCAGGAAGTGTAAAAACGGTAATTGTAAGTAAAAGAAAAATGTATTTATTTAACTAATGAATAGAAGAGGATTTCATATTAGCATGCAGAGCTGCATGTTGATGTGATTTTTAGTGAAAGGGGGTAAAGGCCCACTTTAAAGCTGAATTCCAGGCAAACAACTAAATACATACATTAAACAAAATTTTTATGGGAGCTGCTTTACCTGAGGATTTGTATTCCTATCCATCCAGTTCTGAGTTAAACACCGTTCTGCCACACAGCACAGTCCTGTCCAGTAGGAAACCTGATTTTTCTCTACTGCAGTTAAAGTAGATGGAAAGACTACATATAACAAACGGCCTAATAGCACTTCTCATATTGATTTTGTCAGTCTCTACAATCGCTGTGTAAATACCTTTTATATATTTCTAATCATGCGAGCACTAATCTTCCTTTTTCTCAGGGTGTTGGGTGTGGTCTCTAGGGAACTGTCGTCATGGCAGGAAGTGACCTACTGCAGGAACAGCAGTGCATTAAACTTACAGCCCTCCACTGCTTTAGGGGTTGGCATTCACCGTCTAAGCTTGTTTGAATGTGCAATAGCACAACGGACAGTATTACAAAGGGGGCCCGACCACGCAGACAATTTCAATGACAGCCAGAAAGCTCATCCGAAGTCTAATGCACAACTGGAAACTTTTAGGATCAATAAATAGGGACATGGAAGGAGTTGAAACATGGCCACATTAACATTCAATAGACATCATGTATCATGCACATTTTTGATTTTGGCTAAACACTTTAATGCAAGCAGGTCTTGTCCCTCCTCTAGCCTATGACTTAACAGTTAAAGGAGAAGCAGCAGACCGATTACATTATCGCTCTGTCACTCTGCTCCCTACTACTGCTGTGCATGTTCTTTGCACAGCAGCAAAACTAATTGGCTCCTTGTGATCTTTCTCCCTCTCACAATGTGACCTTTACTGTACAGGGGCTGCAAGAGGCTGATACCATGTCAAATTCAGAAACTTGAACTGTTTGCATTAGAAAAATAATGATCACTGAATATAGAGCTGAATTAATGTGTCTTTTATATCTGCCTGGAGTTTAGCTTTGAAGTGTATGGAAAGGCAAAATTTACACTTCTACAAAATTTACATTTCCAATGGTATACTTAGACCAAAAGAGAGCACAAAAGAAATTCATTGTTAGGGTTTACATACACTTTAAGGTTGGTCAGGGCTGGAACTCCCTCTATAACGTTTCATTACAAAGCAAAAACTGTCCAACCCAATACCAGCTCCATACTGCAGATGACCTGAGGGGACCCACCTGCAGGAGTCTATTCCTACCTCTTTGAGTTTCTTTGACCATGGCTTTTGTGCTTTCCTGAAACCGTCTTCAGCTTCTTTGGTCTCCTTGAAGCCTCCCATCATCTGTTTGTGATAGGCTTCTTTTTGCCAATTCTTCACCTTTTCAAAGTCATCATTCATCAGAGCGTTTTTCACCTCATGGTGAAGCTCACTGACCCTCTCTGCTTCCGTCATCAGTGCATTCCAAGCCTTCTCCACTGTGCCATACTGTGGGCCTGCAAAAGACATCAGGGTGTATGCAAGGAATCTTAATATATACGTGGTTGAAAAAAAAAAAACCATTAACCTTAATAACATTACATGGTCAAGTGACAAACATTGACACGCATTCATCCAACCTCTCCACCCATCCCATCTGCTTTTATGCGATGGTGGCAAAAACTGACATAACAGTGCAGTGCTAAAATGTACAGAACTTAACACTTAATCAAATTTAGTTCAAAAAGCCTAGTGGATCCATTTGTTAAAATAGTTTATTATAACAGCAATGACCAGTTCAACGTAGTACTGTAGTTCTGGCTCCTCGGAGTGTGTACCTAATAAAGTGCTCCTTTAACATGGGAACCCCCATAGATCTCTTCAGGTTTGCCTTCTTAACATTTATACACCATCAAGCATTACCATCACACTTCTCATTTCTGCTAGGCTAAGCCATAGAATGAAAAAGGTCTGACAGAGTTATGGCAATTAGATTTGTGCCCTTTCTTGCTCGCTGTGAGAAATTTGCAATTTTCTTCCCCAACTCAGCAGATGAGTAAACATGGTGCTCATATACTGAGGGGTTCGTTCACTTTTCTCAGAACAACAGAATCTATTCAATAATATAAAACTCTAGCCGCTGGCCTCTAAGGAACACTTACAAAGCCTTAAGTCCAACCTAGATCTTGGCATGAATCTCAGTACACTAAATCATTATGAACACACTACAAATTGCTTCCAATTGTAACTTTTGTAATCAAATAAGGCCTTCATCTGATGAAGCGCGACACCATGTCATAGCGATTCCACCTCACCTTTCTCTACGAGTTGCTTCCATCTCTTGGACCATTCTGTGAGCTGTTGGGCGTATCCCTTTTCAATCTTCGCCCGCTCATGGATACAGTTCATTAAATCATTGCACAGTCTGTGGCCGTCATCTATCCTCCTTACTGCGCGCTTATAGTTACCAATCTGAGTTAAGAGAAGAGTACAACTGTAACACATGGAACTGCCCAAATGCAAACAAACATTTTAATTTCAATTCATACAAACATTTGAGACCTTACATGCATTTATCCAACTGACAGGACTCAAACTGATCCTCAGGCACACTACTTGGACACAAAAACACAATTTGATTAATATAGGCAGAAGCGTACCCCACAATCCTGAGTAAAGTAAGCAGTACTGTGCTAAGAAGCCACAAACCGTTACCGATTGCTTGAAAGACAGCCTATGCATGGCCCCCAAAGGTTGCATTTTTTGTGATAAATAAAACACATTCAATATGCTTGTGATGTTCTACTACTGAGGGTCCCACAAAGATTCACAACTGATAAAATATGAAGAGCATAATTTCTCAAAAATGACCCAATATGAAGAGAAATTAAAGGTTCTGGCACCATTTTTTTTTATACCCAAGTATGTTTGGCTGGACAGCATACTTGCACATTACGAGAAACTTCTCTCTTGGTTTAGCTAGTTCCCTTGATTCAGCTCTGTGCACCCCTTTTACCACTCCACAGCGCGGGCTTTCTACGACGTTTATCCCACTATTGAGCTCTTCCTCGGGGATCAATCGGATCAGGCCTATGATAATGCAACTCCTATGCATGCATAATGGAGCTGCATTATCTGAAAACTAGGCTTTATTTCTTCGACATTTAACAGATGCTGGGAAATTGCCTTTGTGCCAGGGGTAGAAAAATGTGTTTTTGGCAGGCAAAACGAAGTCTCTATCGAAAAAGATTGGCCGTGCCATCAACTTATTTGTAGCGTAAAGTGTACTTACATGAAGATCCATTTAATATCAGAGGTTGCCATCAGTCATCTAAAAATGGCTGCTCTTTACTTAGTGCACCCTGGTTGGAAAACGGCCCCATACAAGCCTATGAAGAAGGCTTGGTTATGTTTTGGGTTGCTTTGCTGCGCCTGGCAAAGGGTGCCTTAATCTGTGTGGGACACAATGAAATCTCAATTCTATCCTATCAATTCCAGAGCAATATGTACTGCCTGGTGTCCGAAAGCTCCGTCTCAGTCACGGGTCCTCCAACAGGATAATGTAAAGGCATCCAAGAGCAAAATAATGGAATATTCTGAAGTAGCCTACTGTGAGCCCTGGTCGGAACCTTATCAAATTTCCATACATTTCCACCAAAACATGCAGTCTGGAGAAGACCCCCTTCAATCCTGAGACAGCTGGAACAGTTTGCACAAGAAGAGTGACCCGAACTATCTGTTGGCAGGTGCAGAAGTCTTATTGAGAGCAACAGAGAACACTTGTTTGCAGTGATCGACTCCAAAGGTTGTGCAACAAAAGATTGGATTAAGGGACCAACCATTTCTGTATTATTATTTTAAATATAAATTGTTAAAACATTTAATTGGAACCAGATTTTGCTTTTGGTTTTTAAGGAAAAAACAAAGATGGATGCCCAATTAGTCTGGTCAGCTCTAAGTCACAAAAAAATATGGGTTGCTCTTTTTTCATGGAAGGGTACCAACAAATTTGTCCTGGTCTGTATCTACTCAACAGAAGTGCGATGAAGAATGTGGATAAGGTTAACCATCATCTATCTGTCCAGGTATTTATTGCATTTGAACTGAATTTAACAAGAAACATTCTGATTTTTTGTATTAATTTTAATGGATATTGATCTTTACATTAAACTCCAGACAGATATAAAAGACACAAATTAAGGTAGCCCTGTGTTCAGGAAAATATCAAATAGATTTTCTTTTTTATACAAGTAGTGTAAGTACCTGATGCCACAGTCCCTGCACAGCAGAGCACAGATTGGGCGGTGGAGAAGCAGCACAAAAAGCCAATCAATTTATGTCATAAGGAGCAAGCTGAAAGGAGGAGAAAGTCGAATGACTGAGAGATGAGCTCATGACTGTGTTGCTTGTCCTTTCACTGTCCAGTCACAGGTTGCTATCAGGTCTTCTGCTGTGCCAGACAGGGCTGTGCTATGCGGCGGAGCTGTGCAAATGTCAGGACTAGATGCACAGAACTACAACTCCTTTGGCAGTTAAATCAGCCCCCTTTATATCTGTGTATTTAGCCGTTTGTCTGGAGATCAAATTATACACATGAAAACACTCACTGACAGAATCACCATTCACATACTTCCACAGAAGGAGGACCATGACCATCTGATCAACTCTACACACAAAGCTGTCTGAATTGGTTTATCGAATTCACAAGACGCATGCTTTGACATCAGCGGTTACCAGCTGGATAATTAGGGCAGACTAATCTCTTTGATAATATACCAACACGAAGAACAAAACTAACAGCTGGGAATGACTATTAAACAAGGCCACTTAAAAGGGATACTACCACCGATATTACATGTTAGAGTATTCCTTCTCTCCTGCTACAACTGTACTAAAAAATGCAATAGAGAAATTCTCTGCAGGAACAGAAGGGACGCAATAAACTGGGTGACATTAAAGAGCATTAAGTGTTAAACATTCCAACAGTAAGGGGAACAGGCCTGTTAGATATCACTCAACATAATGGAGACTGATAAAATTACTGGAGATGCTTTCATAGCAAATGGACATCTCCTTACAGTAATCCTTGACTTTTAAGCTGTCATTGTGCTCCTCCAGAAAAATACAATTTGTATACTCACTGCAAAATCCTTTACTATAGCATCTCATTGAGAATCAAGGACTCTAGTCTTTAAAGTGTGATTATACCCCTACAACAGGAGGAAAACAAAGGGCCTGCTCCCTCTTATCCCCGCTATACCCCATCCTACACCTGTCTTAAGAGCTCAGTTGTAAAAACAGTAGTAACTTCACTGTGGTAACAGGCTAATACAAAAAAAAAAAAAGGAGTGCTGCAAAAAGTTGGAAGGGAGCACAGTCCTCCAATATCCTACTGGAGAAAAAGATTATCTGGTGTGTACAAAAATCCTATATACACCATCATTTATTCCAGTACACAAGACTCTTCAATGTGTGGAAAGTCCAAAAACAGTTCCAAAAATAAGTTTCTGCCTTGCAGCACTGGGGGTCCCGGTTTGAATCCCGGCCAGGGTCACTATCTATAAGCAGTCTGCATGTTCTCCTTGTGCTTGCGTGGGTGTCCTACAGGTTCTCCAGTTTCCACCCGCACTCCAAAGACATGCTGGTAGGTTAATTGGCTTCTGGCTAAATTGGCCCTCGTATGTATGTATGCATGTGAGATAGGGACCTTAGATTGTAAGCTCCTTGAGGACAGGGACTGATGTGAGTGTGCACTGTGCAGAGCGCAGTTTAAAATGGTTATAAATACCTGTAATAATAATAAATAAGTGGCGGGCAAGGACACCCACCAGAGGAAAAAGGTAGGCAAGCCCTGGCAACCCTCAAGCAGAAGTAGGAGTGATCACATAGCTGCCTCTGCAGGACCTTATGCCTGAAGCTTGCATCCAGACATTCAGTTTAGCAGAGGAATCAAACTGACACTTTGAGCTCCTGTGCAATACACACAAGAGTTTAAAGCATCAGTTCCAGGGCTCCGCTAAACAAATATTTGGGCTGATGTGTCATTTTTTACACAGGCACTGACAGGGCTCTCTCTCTAGTGCCTATGTGTACTTGGCAAGTGACAGGTGGGCCCTCGGGTGTCCGCTTGCCAGGTTTAGGGGGTTTTGATTATGAATGATAAGACCTACAGACACCATAAATGATCTTCAGTGAAGACAGAGATCAGGTCAGACAAGTCCCTGGCTGGTTATATAAGCTCTGATCCCAGTATAAACACACTGAGTGCTGTACACAATGGAACACGCTACAGGAACACAGGCTCCTCTCTCGTAGATGAAGCTTCTAGTTACATAAAGGGCAGAAGTGTCAAAGCAGCATAGACAGTGAATTATCAATGTATATGAATTGTGAATACTTTACATTCCTGCGGGAGATCGTAGCCTTCTATCATCCAGAGACTGCAAATTCAGGTGTTAACCCTGCAGCTCCCACACGATGCTTAATATAGCAACGCTTACACATTTCAAGATTACTCATCAGGCGTCAAGCTCATCTGCAATTGTGTGGTATTTATAACCACAACAAATAGCACTATTCCAGCTGCTAATTAACAAGCATGCACCTAATGTATAAGAACATTTTAAAGTGGACCTGTACTCTGAGAGTAAAATGCTAATTGCAGGGAACAGCTACAAATGTTAACTGTGCTGAAGCAGTACTCCAAAAAAACGTAACTTCTGTCTTTAATTTCATGCAAAAAACTGTGCGCTTCCTGTACCCTAAAGAAGAACTATGAGGTGAGTGAATTACACTCATCCCCATAGTTAGAGCTGATGTGTGATAGTAAATCTGACACACGTTGACTCTATAGATCGGGAAGCGAGCGAAGACATGCCGCCGCTCGTTCACTTCCCGATCATCTCCGTGCATAGAGAGGAGACTGTCACCGCTCAACGCAGGGATTTCCCCCCCCCTCCCCCCCCCCGATCCTCCAGCGCTGAGTGGAGGAACGGATGGGGGAGGGGGCAGGCAAAGCGGGCTCTGCCTCTAGGTAGGCAGAGCCCGCTGTCAATCAGGCAGCTGGGTGGATCTCAACAGTATTGTTGGGATCCGTCCTGGCTGCAGTGCTCTCGGCATATAGCAGGCAATAGCCTGCTATATACCGAGTATTGTGTCACAGGAGGACGTTAGTTTATGTCCTCCATGACCCTAAAGAGAACTATGCGGGGGAAAAAAGTTAGCCCCATAGCTGCATATCTACAGTGCGAGATGATCCAAGGCACTGCTGCCTCTAACTGCAAGTCTCACTAAATCCTGCTGCTCAGTGTTCTCCTTGCTGGAGAGGAAGCTGTACACGAGGACCTGCACTGCAAGAATCTCCATGCTTCTACTTCAATCATTCATTCTGTGAATATGCTTCTGCCACCTCTCGCCACTTCTTAAATATTCTTAAGAATAATTCCTCTCGCCACTTCTCGTTAGAGAAGCAG